GGTTTAGTGGTTTTAAAAAAATATTTAAGATTTACTTTATCTTGAGAACAATATATTTACTTTCAATTTTTTAATTTTTGTTGATTTAATTATGAGTGATTTAACAATTAGATAGCTGATTATTCTTATTGAAAATAGTATTCTTCATTGGAAGGAATTCTTTTCTCTGTGCGAAGACTGGATCAATGAAGGTAGAAAAATAGAGGGTTTTATCACTGTACTGGAGAGTATGAATGATATGAGAATATTGTGGCCAATACAAAGTGTAAATAGTGAATGAAGAAAATATATTACTTTAGAATTAATCAATGAATCAACGCGAGAATCTTCACAAATGTAAGACTTCCTCTGAGACTGCATTAAAATCTTCTTTCAGAGATAAAACATCATTGCCACGTAAACTGTCCGAAATGTCAATGACGATTTTATGGATTGCTCATTGGAGCATCGCTCATTATTTTTTTGTAACTGACGTTAGCAAAGTGATCAAGAACTTCGTGAGCGCAATCAGCTTGTGCATTACGCCAAACCAATCGACGATGAGAATCGCTAGATTCTCATGAGAAAATCTGTATTTTCCCTTGAGAAAAATGTTCCCCCAAATTTTTATTCCCAAAGTTGCGAGATGGTTATAGCCGTGAAAAATATTATGACTTGAGAATCTCACGTTGAATTATCACACGTCCATTCGGCGCCTGCAGTTCAATCGTGATCATAAAAATTTCAGAACGTAATTTCAATCTTGTCATTTTATATATTTCGGAAATGTCTGAATTCTCTCCGCGAAATTCATAATCGACTTATTCAAACTTGATTTCGTTGGGAATTGAATCGGGTATGAAATAACTGATGGGAATTCATATTAATGTCCACTGATAGAAAGGAATAATTACTGTCAAAAATGAATTTGATTGAGGGCTGGGGTCGGTTCAATCCGCTCAAATATCGCAATAGGTTTGATTGACTAATTAATTGAAATAGTTCTTAAAACTCGACGGCAGTACCTGGGGCGTTCTATCAGTGATGAACGTGAAGATAGAGCGTTCTTCTCTTCAATTAATATGAAAATAGCAATTGAACATTATATTGAGTAAAAGCTATAAAAATTTTTACGTACGAGTCATTGAAAATTTCCCTAAAAAAATGAACGAATCTGCTTGAAATATTTCGTTTACTGATGATACTTCAACGGTAGTTATATCATTCCGTAATATTAAAATCTATCACCTAATAAAATCAAATGCAAAAATTTTGAAAAAACACCATAACACGATTTAATTGAATACTTGGTAATCCCACAATAGCAACAAAAAAAAAACAACAATTCGACTCTCATTGAATCGCCAAAAGAACTAATCATGAAAAATTGATGGCACAGGTGTGAGTGTAAATAATTTATCAATGAAAAAAACTGAAAAATAAAACCTGAAAAACAGTTGTCACATTTTCGCAGACGATGACAAAACTGGTAATCAATGAATTGCCGGAGGTTCAGTGGTCTAGAAAGATAACGACAATATACACACGACATTTCGTTGACAACTTTTTCGCCTGAGAAAGTGTCTAAATATAAGAAGGCGAGAAAATAAATGAAAATTAAAAAATGCGAATGATTGTCTTTTACTTCACTCATACGTACCGTTATAGAAAGGATGAAGGATTAATATAAGTGTTTCATCTAGCCAATACAATGTATATTGTAATCTATCATCAGAAATAAATTATCGACAGTAATGATTCTGCCAATATCATCTATTTCGTCTTTCTGGATGTGTCACATTTTGTTTTTAACCGAGGGTCCGCAAATGGGAATAAAAATCCAATTAAATCGGGAAAATAATTGGGATTATTTCATCTCATTAGCACAATCCTTTGAATTTCACTGTAGAAATCATTTGTCCCATTTTCTCCTTCGCGAATTATGTTTTATTTTCAATATCAATACCTGTAGACGACATTGATTGGTTCCAATCTTCATTAATTAATTAATATCTCCTCATTTATCGTATCCCACTGCAATTCCCTATCGATTTCCTGATAATCACTATTTATTACATTATCACATTCAGAACGAATCGACAATACGGAAACAACTTGAGGTTTCATTTATCGTCTAGCTGTTACAGTAAAAATTATTTATATAACTCATGAAATCTAATTAAAATCTCAATTTCTACCTGTTCAGCATAATATTGTACAAACAAAAATTCCTCGGATCAACATTCACTGAAAAATGGATATCTCATCCAATATTATCTTCCTCGATACCAAAAATTCCTGCGCACCAAGAAGATTGCCATCTTTATGAATTCTCCAAGAGCCCTCTAAAAAAACCTAGCTAATTAATTTTAATGGAAAACAATGACAAAATCGATAATGATCAATACTTGTGCTATTGAAAATAGTGAAAAGTGTTGTACACAAGGGATTTGGAAAAAAAGAGCAGGTCTCGTTGGAATGGAGATAAGGCATGCCGAGCGTGTCCTCAACTAATAATAATAACCAGACATTCTCCCTTAGTTGAAAAGTGGTTAGTTGAGATCATATAATGCAAACTGGGTCAAATTGATCGTATCTTATTCATCTACAAATGGGAGGATACGACCCACTCAAGTACAGTAAACGGTGCAGGCCATGTTCTTTCTCCTCGACCAAGTAATAAGTAGTAAATATCGCTATATATCCGATATTCCGTCGATCCAATGTATTTCGCTATAAAGGATTAAAAAAAAAGATTGCAGAGCGAACGGGTTATCGATACTGGGGCAAATTGGATTTGACAATGGACGATATCTATTATTCTCTCCCCCTGTCACCTCTTTTTTTCCACTAGTGCGCGACGCCCACCGTAAACGAATAAAATCCACTGACACGATATAATTGAAATCTCAAGCTATTTTCACTTCCATTTAATTTTCTGAAATAACCACCCCTGGGTATTGCACCTTACGCAATCAGTGGATTCATTTGGAAGAAAATTGAGGACTCAGCAGAACTTCGTGATTAGCCGCTAATCAATCTTAATTCCATCAGCGACTTCCAGTATTGGAAAAATTAACAGAAAAATATGTGGCATGTCGAGGATAATTGGAGATCGGAGAGAAATAGTCAAGAGAGTTTACATTAATTACGGTAAGTCTGGGAGGAAATTAAATTTTTCTGGAACGTGCCATTATTTTTGCTTAATTCCCTGGTACATTGAAAATTGAAAAAAATTCACTAAACGATAATAAGATAGATTGGAGCACGCAATCATTTGGAATAGACCATGAAAACATTAGGAAAACTGGCTGATGCCAACGGGAAGCCAATGTACGGCGATATATACTTGGCACGTCGGAGGGACCACATTGACCCACTGGGAGCCATTAGCTGGAGTGATATCATAATACCCCGAGATCAGATATATCACTTACACGTTTTTGATGATACCTACGGCTCCACTGAGAGTTATTACGCGAAAAACAAGATTCTTCTAGCGCAATGAGCCACAATAAAATGATCATTTTTCAAGTTATTTACAAATTTGAAAACCAGTTGATAAAATTAAAGTTAAAAAATACACTGTTTTTAAATTTTATCATTATTCCATGTTTGACGAACTCAGGTATCATCACTGTGGAAGAATTTAGCTCACAAAGTTCTCAGTGAATTTTTCCAAAAATGCCACAATTTCCAAAAATTGAGGAAAAATTTATAAGAACAGACGCGAGTTTGTAAAAAATTAGTGAGTCCATCTGTTCGACAGTTTCCCATAAATGGCAAAACAATCTGACAAATAAAAATGTAATGAGATACAGGTAATAACTCCTGATTGCGAGAGAATTGTTAGCTGGTTAATTTTTATTTAAAATTCGCAATGGTGTATGTACCTGGAGGGTAGGTGAAATGTAGGGGAGTGGTGTAGAGTTGCCTGGCGCATGGAGGACGCGCTTTCAGTAGTATTGATTACAGCCTCCTATCCAGGTGCACAGGCAGGGTCAAATCTACCCATCTCTGTTCCCATCCCATCCCCTATATTTTCATCCTCCCACTCTGGTGTTTTCATCTCCCTCCTGTTATCGTGAATTTCCACGGGGTCTCTCCTCTTCCAGCGTAAACTCAACCCAGTGCTCGTTTCACCTTTACCCCAGAAAATGGGGGAAAGAGAGGGATATAACAAGAGATGCCATTCGTGCACCTGGCTACATCCAGAAATCCTGGCTTATTCCTGCCCTTCTCTTCCACCCACACTGTCACTTTGAGTATTTCGTATCACCTGTACGAATCTCCGGTGTACCACCACCGTCACGCAACGGATCTTCTCCGGGTTTATCTGCATTCAGAAGCGCACCAAATAACATCCCCCAACCATTTAATCTCACATCCAATCCACTGCTAGAGATGGAAGATGATGACGGCTGATAAGGGATCATCTGCCGGAGGAAAATATTATCTCCGAGCGTTCGAGACGACTTATCGACCAGAGGCCATTTTTTTTTTTCATTTTTTTTTCAAATTCAATTGCACGGAGATAATTAAATTGTAGGAATTACCATTGGCATAGGGGAGAATGGTACAGCAACATTGTAAAAGGGTTGTCGCCGGGTAAATGCTATACTGTTGGAAAAATACACTTGAAATTTCATGGGAAAGAATAGGAATTTTTTTTTTAAGATGACGAAGTTACATGAAATTTCTGTGGAATTAATTCAGAACGAATGCACCACACGATTGGTAAATGTCATGATAACTTTTCCTATAAATCTTTATCTGTGTATGTCTTCTGTGAGTATATAGTATCAGGAAGTAATGAGATCAAATGTCTCCCAGATTTTCACGGAGATTTTATAATGACTGTTTGAAAACTACTTTTGGGAGATATCGCTTGAGTTGTGGGAAAAGGTCGCATGTTTCTGAATCTATTTGTGAGTTGGGAGCAACGAGTCGTACGTGGCCTGTTCCAAGTGAATTTAGGTATTTCAAGTTTGGAGAAGTTGAAGGGATGTGACCATCGTCTTTTGGATCCACATTTAACGTTCTGGCAGTGAAAGATCGTTGCAAAATAGTGCAGTGAGAATAATCAAGTAAATTCGCCGGAACATTCCATCAAGCAGACAGTCTAGAGTCTTTATTATTGATAGAAGTGCTAAATGTAACTAGAAATCATCGAGAACTCTAAATTATCCGATTTTACAGTATACACATGATGTCCACTATCCCAAATGCTTATAAAGTTTACAAACAACCATTATTTTCTGGCAGAATAGGAAAATCGACAAAATAATGGATTACAAAGCTTCCGGTCGGAAGCAAGAACAGAAAT